GAAATGGATGTGGATCAGTTGGGCAAGACCACTGTTCCTTCCAGGACAGGAGCTAGGCCAAGTCAGGTTGGGCCAAGTACCCACAAGTGATCACGAGAGCTGTGACTGGGAAGTGATCTGATAGAGGGGGTCAGAGAACTTCTGTCAGGATGCAATCCCTACAAGTGAGCACAAGAATCAAGGCTGGGAATAGCCCAGGCAAGGCCATGTAACAGTACTCACTGGCACACATGTGGGTCAGGTCTGGGAGCAGCCCAGACTGGGCCAGTTCATAACACCCACTGGCAGATGTGAGAACTAGGACAGGGTGCAGGATAGGCCAGGCTGGGCCATAACACTAACCAGTTCACATTAGGGCCGGGAATGGAGACTGGCTGGGATGGGATAGACTGCAGCATCCACCAGCTTGAACTGAAACTGGGATCGGGCTGGGCTGAGCCAGGTTGCAGCACCTGCTAGTGGATCCTGAGGTGAGGCTAAGCATGCCAAGTCTGGGTTGCAGCTCCCACCAGCACACATAAGAATTGGGATGAGGGCAAGCTCAGTAGGGGAGATGTGGGGGCTCCCCTGCTGGGGCACTGCTCCGGCTGGTGAGCATGAGCTAGGGCCTGGGGCAGACCAGGCTGAGTAGGGCTATAATACCTGTTGGCCTGCATGTGAGCTGGCTTAAGGGGGAGAGCCAGACTGGGCTAAGCGACCATATCTACCGGTGGGTGCATGAGCCAGAGTAAGTGCAGGCTGTTGGGGCTTTGCCACAGCATCAGCTGGCAAGTGCTGGGACTGGGGAGCAAATCCTGTCAAGCTAGAGTGCAGAACCACCTGGAAAGTACAAGATTCAGGACTGGGAGTGGGCCCAAGAGGGAAACTGTGGGCATCTCTCTGATGGGCTGCATCTCCCACTGATGAGCATGACAACCAGTGTTGGGGGCAGACTTGGCTAGATAGGAAGTTGCACCCACCAGCATGAGTATGGGCTGGATAGTGGGGCTGGTTGGGTGGAGCTAGGTTCCAATGCTCATTGATGTGTAGGAGAGCTGAATATGATGTGGACAGATTGTACCAGTCTGCTGCACATAGCAGCATGCACAGGAACCAGTTGACTATGCTGCAGTTCTACTGGTATATGTGAAGGCAAAGTGTGGAGGGAAGAGTTAGGCTGGACCTCAGCATCCATTGGTTTGCCTATGAGATGGGGCTAGGGACAGAACAGACCAGGTGACTACAACCACCGTGTGTGTGTGTAGGCTGATGTGAGTGATGGACTGAGCCAGACCTTACACTGGCTGGCACACACAGGAGGCAGGTTTGGGTGACCTCTGGCAAGGTTTCTTTGGGGATCGCCCCCAGCTGGTCTTTGGACTCAGAATTCCAACCACAGTGAAAATCACACGATGTGTGGTCTGTTGAGTGAATGTGTCAGAACTGGGTCTCCATGATTGCTGAGGCCTGTGCAGTGGCAGATGCTCAAAGTGGACATGACAACCGGTTCATAGTGCCCTGGAGGGCAGAACAAATTTGACAACTCTCCCAGACAAGTATCTGGGTAAATCAAGTCTCTAAGGTGGACTGTGTCAGCCAGTGGACCTTGGGAGGATTGCCTCACCCTTGGAGCAACGAAATCAACAGCATCTCAGAACTATCAAAACTTTTGGTCAGCATCTTCAGAACATGCTCTACACTGAGGATCCTCGATGACATTGGGTGACCGTCCCCAATTCCTGGGAATTGATGTAACATTTCCTGTTCTCCTTACTTTCCCCAAATACCAGAAGAAAAAAGGAGATTGGAGGCAGTTGTCTCATTCACTTTCTCCCACTCCTTGATCCTCTGCACCCTAATTGGTGGTTCACATGGGCATGTATCCTTTCTTTTTCTTTTTAAGGTTTGTTTATTTTTCCTGGAAAGGCAAATATACAGAGAGGAGGAGATACAGAGAGAAAGATCTTCCTTCTGCTGGTTCACTCCCCAAGTGGCCACAATGGATGGAGCTGAACTGATCCACAGCCAGGAGCAAGGAGCCTCTTCTGGGTCTCCCATGTGGGTGCAGAGTCCCAAGGCTGTGGGCTGTCCTTGACTGCTTTCCCAGGTCACAGGCAGGGAGCTGGATGGGAAGTGGAGCTGCCGATATTAGAACCAGTACCCATATAGGATCCTGGCGCATGCAAGGTGAGGACTTTAACTGCTAGGCTACTGAACCAGACCATCCCTTTCAACTATATAAACATCATCAAAACGAAAATGAATTTGTTATTTTAAAAAATGGTTCTAGGGTCCTGTGTTGTGCTGTAGCAGGTAAAGCTGCAACCTGCAACACTGACAGCCCATATGGGCACAGGTTCATGTCATGGCTGCTCCATTTCCAATCCAGTTCTGTGCTTTGGCCCCTGCCAGCCATGTGGAAGCTATGGATAAAGCTATTGGCTTTGGCCTTGTTCAGCACTAGCTACTGCAGCCACCTGGGGAGTGAGCTAGAGGAGCAAAGCCCTGTTTCTCCTCCTATCTCTTTCTCTACACATCTGTCATATAAATAAATTTATTAAAAAGAAAATAGCTTTAGAGGGCCTGGCATGATGGCTCAATTGGCTAATCCTCCTTCTGCATTTGGGCACCAATTTGTGTCCCTGTTGCTCTACTTTCCATCCAGCTCCCTGCTTGTGGCTTGGGAAAGCAACAGAGGATGGCCCAAAGCCTTGGGACCCTGCACCCACATGCAGCTCCTGGCTCCTGGCTTTGGATCAGCTTATCCCTGGCTGCTGGGCCATTTAGGAGTGAATCAGCAGATGGAGGATCTTTCTGTCTCTTCTTTCTGTAAATCTGCCTTTCCAATTAAATTTTATTTTTCTTGAAAAAAGAGCAATTCACTGCTGACAGTCAACAAGGAAATGCGATCTCAGTGTAGAACTGCAAGATGAGGGTTACCAATTATCTGTGGGTACTTGAGTATGGTTCTTATCCTAAGCAAGCCTCTGAAAAGATTGCAGTCTGGAGCCAAGAACCAATGAGACTTATGATCTACAGAAATTGTAGCAACAAATATGTGTGTCTCAATCCATTAAGTTTGTAGTCATTTGCTATACGAGGGTATCAGATGTTTTAACTAAAAGTAGATTATTAGGTAGCATGATATGTTCTCATTAAAATATTTCAACAAAGTCATAATGATGCTTCAGATATGATAAATCACTATGTGCATCACCTTTTTTTAAAATTTATTATTTGAAAGGCAGCGTGATACAGTGAGGGAGAAGGTGAGAAAGATCTTCCATTTGCTGGTTCACTTTCCTAGTAGTTGCAGCAATTCACCAGGCCAAAGCCAGGGGCTTGGAGCTCCATTCGTTTCCCATGTGGGTTGCAAGGAATCATGTACGTGGGGTCAGCAGGGAGCTGAATTGCAAGCAAAGCATCTGGGACTAGAACTGGAGTTCCATTGTGGGATGGCAATGTCTCAAGTTTAACCTGCTATGCCAAGTCAGTGGTCCTTTTCCTGCTTGAGATGTTTTTTAAAATATACATATTTTAAAATTAAATTGATCTCCTTTTTAAAAGTTTTATTTGAAAGGCAGAGCAATAAAGTGAGAAAGTCAGACAAGAGAGAGAGAACTTTCATCCTCTGACTCCCTAAACACCTGACTTAGCCAGGGCTGGGCCAGGCTAACGGCAGGAGCCCGGCGCTTCATGCAGATCTCCCACGTGGATGTTAGACAGCCAAGCACTTGAACTATCACCTGTTGCCTCCCAGATGCACATTAGCAGGAAGCCGAGTTAGGAAGCAGGGATTTGGGCCCAGGTATTCCAGTATGGGATGCAGGCATCTCATTACTGTTTTAACTGCTATGACATGATGTCTGCCCTTAGCACCCCCATTTTTAAAGGAATTTCTGTTAAAAAGCATTTTAAAATTTGGAATCAGAGTTTATCTGTGTTGGTATTATGATGACACAAAAGTTTTAAGCACTGAGAAATTTTGAAAACCAGAGTTCATTGACAACATAAAGCAATCACTCTTCCTCCTACTGAGGAATATGGCTATGGAGTTAAAACTGCAAGAAATTTAAAAAAATTATTTTTTGAGGTTTTTCAAAAGATCATCTACTTATTTCAAAGCACAACGCAAAAGTGTAGTTTTATAAACTACACATTAAATCTTGTATCTTATCCAAGGAGGCCAAATAAGTATGGATGAAAATAAAGCTGGCTGGGGACAAGGCAGGGGAGTCTGGTGGGGTCTGCGTCACCTGGCCAGGTCCTTGGGCCCACTTGCAATGGGAGTTCCTATTACAGATAAGTGAGCCAAGACGTTCTGTTTCTTGGTGGGCCTTTCTTTCACCCACCAATTCTGCTCTGTGGGGGCTTTCCTTGTAATAACCGGAGGCAGCTAAGACACCAGGGAGTTTTGACCGAATGGACAAGGAGGAACAAAAAGAGAAGAGCAGTCCGTGGGCCAGGGAAGATGACAGGAGGGGCCAGCGCCGCCCTTAGACTCCCCTCATTCTTTGTCACTCATCTCCAGGTTTCTTCTCACTGCAACCCCTGTTCTCACCGCAGGGACCGCCGCTGTCCCCTTAGGCCTACACCTGGTCACCACCCCGTAACGCGCCCGCCCGTCCTAGGCCACGGCCTGCGCCGTGCCTCATGGCCCACGCGGTCCTGCTTCCGTCCTCACGGGGTTCCTCACAGGCTGGCGGCGCCGACCCTCCGAACCAGCGATGTCCGCTGCCCGGTCTCCCCAAGCTCGCAGCCTGCCTGCCGCTCGGCCATCCGCGCCTGTTCCAGAACCCCGGGAGCCGCCGGCTACGCCGCGGGCCGACTCGCGTCTCTGTTGGCTGACGAGATTCACGTGACGCCTTGGGTGTCCGCCATTGGCTGGCGCGGCGCCGGAGGGACGTGCTAGCGCGGGTCCGGGGAGGCCGGCGGGCGGCGCGGAGGGTCTGGGCAGGCGCCGAGGGAGGACGTGGTGCGCGGCCGGGTCGGGACCGTGCTTCTCTAGGGCGGGCGGGGACTGCCGGCTTCGGGCGGCCGGCTTCGGGCGTGTGGGAACGGCGGCGTCCGGTGCCCGCGCCCGGCCCGCCCTGGCCGCCCGCGCCCGCCTTCCCAGGACAGAGGAGAAGGACTGGAGTCCCGCGGAGCCGCCTGCGCGAGGGACCCGCAGTCTGGAGCAGGATAAAAGAGGTTCGGAACCCGTACGCTGTTTAGCTACCTGCGAAGCACGGCTCGCAGTGATTTCTGCCTGGTTGTTGAATGACGCGTGCTTGGAGGCGCATCCTGGAGGGGCGTGGGCTTTAGCGCCGAGGCCTTGGGTTTGGGGGTCGCTGAGGGCCAGGCTGGGAGTGAGGTGCTGGGGGAAGTTGGGGAGAGAGCCCCTCTCAGCTCCCGATGATGTGATGTGAACAGCTCTATTTTTGGATATTGGCAAATAATTGAAAAGAAGAAGAAGAAGAAGAAAAAAGGCTGAGGAAGCAGAAAGTGTTTATGAGCTGGTTCTAGACTGCTAGTTTGTGACCTCTGATTTTAGACCTAATTCTGCAGCTAGATTAGTTACATGACTCTGGCTAAGTGAGCCACTTTGGTTGGAGTTACGTGTTCTCAACACGAGTGGTATTGTTCATATTCTTGGAGGGACAGAAAGAGTTTAGATACTGAAATGGCTTGTGGCCTTCCGAAGAGCTACGGAGCGTGAACACAGACCCGGTGTGAGGGCACTTGAAGAGTCAGTGGAAACTTGATTTAACACATGGTTATTTTGATGCAAAAATTTTGCAATCCACATGAAGTTTTTCATAATAGACATTTTTGATGAATTTTTGTGAAGGTCTCTTGTGTATTCGTGGCATTTTTCTGAGGACAGCAGATTAGGAGCGAAAATGTGTTAAATTTTTGAGAGGGAGAAAAATTTTTTAGAAATGTGAAACTCCGCTGTTAGGGCATTAGATAAGCAGATTTTCCTGTTTGAGTTTTCTGTGTTAGGATATTATAAAACACTAACATTCGTAGACTGTGACCTCGAAGAACAGAGTTTATCATATGAAAACTTGCTACTACTACCAGCTATCACACACACACATAATTTTATTTGATATTCACAACAGAATGTCATTCCATTTTTTTCATGAGGAGCCAAGTTGAGAGGGTTTGGGTGACTTGCCACAATCAACTGTTGAAATGGAACAACTGGATTTGAATGTAAATCTGGCTCCACCACTCACTCCTTTTGTCTCCTAATCACCAACCTGTATCCAAAATTCGCGTATACAAGAATCCTGTCTTGGGGCCCTTTTCAGAAAGATTATCCAGCCCTCACTTTCAGAAATTAGGTTTCAGAGATTTGGGCTGGACCCAAGCATCTGCATGTTAACCACTTCCTTGGGTGGGTCCGAATTTGGTGATCCTGGGACCAATTTGAGAGTAGCCACTCCCTAGTCAAGTTCCCAGCCCATCCTCAGATCTTCATGGCTTGGTAGAAGATCCTTGGTGGAGGGCAGCCAGGGCTTATGAACTTGCACTGTTTAACGGATATGATTTTGAAGATGTCCGACAGTTTGTGTTTTATTATGTGAGTTTCCTGCAGTGCTAACCTGAGCCTCCCAAAAAAACAGGCAAAGGACATGTAATTCAAAGGTACTAAACTAAATTTAAGCAAAACAGTTTAAAAAATCATGTTTCTCCATAACCTAACAGTGGTTTTCATGTTGCTAGAAATGTTGACTATCCTTCTCTTCCTCTCTTTTTTTGTATTTATTTTTTTTTAAAGATTTGTTTATCTTTATTGGAAAGTTAGATATACAGCGGAGAAACAGAAGATCTTCTATCTGCCGATTCACTCCACAGTGGCCACAACAGCCAGAGCTGTGTCAGTCTGTATCCAGAAGCCCAGAGCCTCTCTAGGGTCTCCTACGCAGGTGCAGGGTCCCAAGGCTTTGTGCCATCCTCTACTGCTTTTCCAGGCCACAAGCAGGGAGCTGGAAGGGAAACAGGACTACTGGGATTAGAGCCAGCACCCATATGGGATGCTGGTGTGTGCAAGGCGAGGACTTTAGCTACTAGGTTACTGTGCTAGGCCCATCTCTCTTTCTTTCTTCCTGTGTTACAATCTATTTATTTTTTATTAGAAAGGCTGATTTATGCAGAGGAGAGAGAGAAATATCTTCCATCTGCTTGGTTTGCTCCCCAAATGGCTGCAATGGCCAGAGCTGAGCTGACCCAAAGCCTAGAGTCGGGAACTTCTTCTGGGTCTCCCCATGTGGGTATAGTGTCCCACATAGGGTCATCTGTTTACCTAGGACACAGCAGGAAGCTTGATGGGAAGTGGAGCAGCTGGGCTACAAACTGGCACCCATATGGGATCCTGGCCCTGATAGAAGGAGGATTAATCAATTGAGCCTTTGCATTGGGTCCAGGTGGAATATCTCTTATCTGAAATGCTTGGGATAAGAAGTGATTCCAGGCTTGATCTAGTGGCTCAATGGGCTAATCCTTCCTGTTCAAGCTTGGGGAATCCCATATGGGTGCCAGTTTGTGCTTCTGCTGCTCCACTTCCTATTCAGCTCCTTGTTTATGGCCTGGGAAAACAGTAGAGGACAGCCCAAAGCCTTCAGAGCCTGCATGGTTGTTGTTGGAGGCTCCTGGTTCCTGACTTTGGATCTGCTCAGTTCCTGCTGTTGGTACCACTTGGGGAGTGAGCCAGCAGATGGAAGATCTTTCCCTTTGTTTCTTTTTATTTCTGTAAATCTGTCTTTCCAATAGAAATGTCTTAAAAATGTTTCTGATTTTGAGTGTTGGAATATTTGCAAAAGCATATTGAGATATGTTGGCTATAAACTGGGTGAAAACAGGAAGTTTAATAGTTTTTCATATACATTTATGCTTGTAGCCTGAAGATAATTTTATAATATGTCAGTGCACACGAGTTTTGACTGAACTACATAGGGTCGTGTATGGAATTTCCAGCTCGTGGCATGGTGTCAGGGCTCAAGAAGTTTTGGATTTTCGGTTTTGTGTTACGGATGCCTAGCAAGTGCTGCAGATTGTTCAAGTACACAACATTCAGGAAATTCCTCAAAGACCTGAGATTGAAATCTGCAATTCAAATAAATATACAACATTTAGAACATTCTTAGAAGACATGAGATTGAACTCTGCAATTCCTAGTGGAAATCTGAAAATCATTCAGATGGTAAACTAAATCACACTCTCGTAAAGACACATTGCATTCTTTTGCCAAACCAAAGCTGCTCCCCAAACTGGAACTTTTTCGTTCTGAACTTGGCAGGTGCAAAGATATATACCGTGCAGTGTTTCTTCAGAATCTTTTCTAGTCACGTGTTGTTTCCCATATCTCTGCAACCTCAACAAGAGATGCATTGGCTTAAATTGCCTGTGTATTTGCTGTTTCAAAAAGATCCGTTGAATAATAAATAATAAACTCTTATAATAATATAATAATAACATATAATATATAATATAATCAAATAAGATATATAATGAATAAATAATATAACAAATAATAAGCTCTTATAATAATGCATAATAAACTCTTCTGCGCAAGTCTTAATTGGATCATTCAGTACATTTAGTATATTTCTGCTGAAATAGTAGGGTTTTCTTTTTCTCATTCCTGTGGAGGCAACACAAGGTAGAGGAGCTGAAGTAGGTTTTCATTTAAGGCAGAATCTGTGTTTTCCTCACATATCCAACACTTTGTGGTCGCCTGGCATGTGGTCTGTGGTCCGGTCTGTCCTTTTCTCACCCAGGACGTAGGGAAAGTGCCTCCAAGATCATGACGTCAGAGAGCCAGCACATGGGAAGCCTTAGAGTGTTAAGCACAGTGATTTTTCCGTTAAAATTGGTTCTCTTGCACTAGAGCAAATTTGTAGATTATAATCCCTCATTAGTAGCCAGGAGTATTTTCACTTCCAATAAAGATGGCACTTTAGGATGAATATTGCTTATGAAAAAAGTCAATAACAAACCATCAGTGTAGAAAAAAACTGCTGAGAAAACTCAGGGCACAGTGAGTAGTTCAACATGTTTTGCTCTGTGAGCACAATCATCCAGTTGTTAATTAAGCCAAGATTTATGGACACTTATTGTGTCCCAGGCTCTATGGGAGATACAGATGATGTAACAGTGAAAAAAGACAAGGAACTTGACCTCAAAGAAATTACGTAGAAGCTAGTCAGTAGATACAACAGGTGGTTATAGGTGGTGATAAATGCTTGGCCAGCATAAGTAAAAACAAGAACAATAAATAAGACATGCATGTCTGATTTTAAATGTATGGGACAAAATATTAGAAAATTCTCTGAAACTTTTCCCAGTTGAGATTGTGCATAGTTTGCATCTCAGCAAGATGGAGGATTTAAGTAACTGAGAACATAGTTAAAGATTTCTTGCAACTAATTGACCCAGTGTTGATTTCTGATAAAGCTCTGGCTTAGCCTCTAAGGTTTTGTAAAATTATTTATTTATTTATTTATTTTAGGGATTATTCCCTTTGCTAGCAATTAGTTATGAATTCATGGTTTGTTAGAAAATTCCTTTCAAAACATCTTTCTCAGTGGTCTCTTACAGTTTTGAAATTTGATTGGAAACTAAAAAAAAAAAACTAAAAAAATAATAAATTTTATTGGAAGCTAACAGTTTGTAATTGTATATTTCACGGGATGCAAGGAATGCTATGATTGGTGAATAGGGTGTGGAATAATTAAAGTGACATCCATCACTTGGAATACGGGTGTGTTTGTGTGTGTGGTGGGAACATTTGGATATCATCCACCGCCTTTCCAGGCTTTTGAGCAGAGAGCTGGATCAGAAGCCAAGCTACCAGGACTCATGATGGGCACTCCACGTGGGATACCAGTGGGGCGACAGCAGCATCCCGCTGCACCACAGCACCCCCCTGGAGACCTACTCGTAGCAGTTTTGCAGTGTGTAATGCCCTACTATTAACTGTGTCACTGTCCTATATTCCTCTTAAGACTGTGCCATTTGACCATCATTTCTCCATGTCCCTCAACACCCAGCCTCTGGAACTGCAGTACTGCTCTCTGCTTCCATGTGTTTGAGTGTTTTATGTTGTCTCAAACTGCAGAATTTCCTTAAGGTTGAAGAGTATTCCGTATTTTTATATACCACTTTTTTTCTTAACTGTTCAATTGTTGAGGTAAAAGGTG